CCGCCCCCAAGGACCCGACCTAGCGAGTATTTGCGGGGTCGATGCCCTGCCTGTTTTGGAGGACTTATACACAATGCGACGGCTGTGTAAGTTATTCAGCGCTGGTTTTACGCTGCGCACCAATTAAGACTTTTAATCAGGTCGGACATCAAGGTCTGTGTGGACGCTTGCTTCACGCAGAAGAAGAACAAAGGCGAACCCGATCCACCGAAGTCTCACCCGTACACGCACTTTGTCCCTGAAACGGAGAGCGACCTCATGGAAATGTATGTGGACGCTGTACGTAGCACGAAGCCATCCAAACGGTCACGAAAGGGGAAGCACAGTGCCACTGTGGAGGACGACCCCAATGTACTCGTGGTTGTACACTCCGATGACGAGGACGACGGTTACGAGCACCCCGCGCTGCTTGTGCCTCGGAGCGTCCTCAACGGTTGCGAGGCGTCGTTCAAAGCGGCCGATGAGAAGCGGGAGAAAGCCAGTACGAAGCTCTACGACGATACGGGGCTAATGGCCTTGCTCTGCCGCCACGACCGAGTCCTGTGGCTCGTCAACATGCACTCCGCAGGAGAAAAGCAATTCTATGTGCTCCTGCTGATCGAGACGTTGTTCCAGCATCTGCCGCTGAATATCACCGTGGGCCTTTTATACGACGTCGCCTGCCAACTCGAGCGCTCGGCGCGGAAGTGGGGATTCCTGGCGCGTTATATGGAGCGTCTGGTGTTCGCAGTGGCTGTTTTTCATGTGTTTGGGCACGACTGGCCATGTCAATTAATCTATCACCCACGGAAGCGGTTGGGCTTCGGCTTCACCAATGGCGAGGGATGCGAGCGCTTCTGGCACTCAATCAGCCACCTGATCGCCCACCTGCATGTGTCCAGTGTGAGTCGCGCGATAATCGGAGATTAACAAATGATACTCACTTTGGCAGCCGACAGTACCACCACAGACTGTACACTCTCGACATGCAGGTGCGGCACGCAGACGAAGCCAACGTGTTCCGCCTTGGCGAGTGGAACAAACGCCGAGCGCTCCACAGTGCTGAGAAGCGCTCGAATGCTCAGGAGATTCTGGACGAATGCGGGCACCCGCTCGATTTATTGAAGGCAGAGTGGGCGAAGCAAGTAAAGGCGCAGACCAAGCCACTCGCGCGCACGTATTTGCCACCACTGTTCTCCTCCCAATACTGACCGATCATCAGGCCGCACGAAGAATATGGGACAAAAAGCAGTGGAAGCGGTGTTTGCGCTCCGCGATGGAGTCAAGATACGGAAAGCGCAGGTCGTGGCGGCCGAAGAGGCCGCGTTAGATGCTATCGACGGGGGCCACCAACCGGCTATCCAGCAAACTAAAGAACACCTCAAGAAGACAAAAGAGGGCCTCCGCACGGCAGAGGCCAAGCTCAAACAGAAAGAGCTGGCTCTGGGGGTCAGGGACAAGGCTCGACTGGCAAATCTGGCCACCAGCAAGTACTTGGACCTCCGGATGCGATGCCGGGCTGCAAAGCATCGGCTGCGAGACCGACTGCGGTCTCGCAAGTTTGAGTTGGACAGGGTGGAGCGCTCTGTGCGACACCAAATTGGAACTGGTATGCCGCGCGCCTCTCTGGTCCCGCTCATACTGAACCTGGTTTAGAAAGGAAGCTTCGTTCACATGCGGAGTCCGCTGTGCGCCGGCGTGAACCCGGGATCGCCAAACTGTACAAGGACTATAACATCATGTGTGGACAAATTGCCACCCTGATCCAGAGCCGACGCGCGCCTCGCGCGGCGGTGGAGCCACAAAAGATCGATCCAAAAACAGTCTGGCAGTTAGACGTTGATGACGGGATATGGCAGGACGTCGGGCTTGACGACGATGATGACAACGAGGCCGGCCCTCAGGCCGCTCCTCCTTTGTGGCTGAGCAGCGAGAGTGTGAGGAGCGGGATTCAGGCGATGCTCGATCTGAGTCGCGCTGACGAGGAGGATGCAGAATTGGCGAAGGAACGGCGGTCGATGCAGGTGTGGTTTGCCGAGGAATGGGAGATTGTGAATGCTGCGATGGGCCGCGCAGGTAAAGTGGTTTCCTTATAGTGGCGTTCCCAGACTGACAGTTGTTTTAGATACTGAGGGCCTACGTTATAACCTCCATCTGCGCCGGGAGCGGCTGGTGCGCCTGTGCGCCACTTGGCAGCGATCCCTACCGAGGAGCGAGGATCCGACTTGCCCACCCTGGGGTCCGACGGGCGAGGAGCTGCTGAGTTGCCGCCTAGAAGAGCAGACGGCCAGGCGCGGTGAAGACCGTTACACGGACGATATCTTCGAATACGAAGAGGAGGAAAGTGACAGCGGCGAAGACTTCCAAACGCTGGACGCCCTCGACACCGCTGACGTTTATAGAGGAATGTATCAAGCTGAGACGGACGACGAGTGGGACTCAGATTGAATGTGTAGCCAATGTAATGTAATAGTATTGTAATAGTAGTTAGTGGCATTGGGTACCAGGCGCGCCATCATAAAGCCTTGAGGCCCACAAATGAAGTGCGTGCGATGCTTTGGTTAAAAGGTTACGCTGACCCCATTGTGCAGGATCCGAAATGGGTGGCAGCCACCAAGACGCCGAATCGGGCAAGACCTGCGCCCATTGTATACATTCAGTGGCACACGCGTATAAAACGGGCCCTCCCCGTTCGCTGGAGGATAACCCATCATGCCCCGCTCCCGTCGCGCCAAAGTCGCTCGAAAGCCAAGAGCCATTAAGGCTAAGGCGCCGCTGCCTCGCATCACCGACCCCTACGCGCCGCCGCATCCGTACATCGCCCCTCTGTCCGTCGAGGAAGAAGAACCAGCCAGGATCCTTCATAACAGGAAGGTCAAAAGATTGGAAAAGCGCTATCGTGAGTGCGCCTTTGACAACGGGCAGACCGGTGCTGATCCTGATCCCCAGACAAGGCGGTGGCCGCTCATTTGTCCATCCTCGACGATCGCGCAAGGGAGGAGGCCAACTGGCCGGTGTATGTCGCATACGACAACGCCTGTAAGTACCGTGTTTCTACCGCTCTTGTTCCTGCCCTAATGATCTGAGCAGTGGAAGACTACGAGACCCAGTATGGGAAGTTCGTCCCCGACGTGGAGAACGCGGCCTGGTTCGCGAGGAAGGTGCCGCGTGTGGCAGACCTCATGGTTTTGAGGAATATTGCTGGTGAGTGGTGTCTGCTGGTGGGGCGACTGCTGGTTGACATCGGGTTTTAGGCGACGTGTATCGACACGACCACCCAGACATGGTAGCGTACTTCGATGCTGGTATGTCTTATGCTTGTATCATCGTCGCTCTGGTTGATCTGTCCCATAGAGAACACATTTAGAGAAGATTTTGGGCACCAATTCGTGTGCCCCGACGGCCTCGACGACCACTTCAAACGGATGAGATCTCACGAGCACACTGCCCACGCGCTCACCTATGTGAGCGCCGCCCTCCTCGAGAAACTCCTCTCGGAGCCGTTGGTTGTCAACATCCTCAATCCTTATCCGCTCGACGACCCAGATCACACCCGATTTGATGACTTATGTGCGTTCTTCTTGCAATTAAATAAGTATCAATGCCTTAACTGCAGTTTCAGTTGAGGACTTCGCGCGTTGGCAGAAGCTCCCTATCACGGCCTCTTGGCGGACCTTTTCCTTCCCAATGCTTCAGGGCGGCGAACCCGATGCGCCAGGATATCAAGAGGAGCGGCTGCATCGATACTACCAAGGTACTCTTCTACACTCATCGAGATGACCGCAGCTGACCGAAATTTGCAGCGGTTTGGGTGGAGGAAGTCTTGGAGGAGGTGGAGCGCCACCATAGGGAGGATTACGACGACTCGATTGGGGAGAGCCGCGGCAATTTAAGATCACCCTTTGTATTACGGCCTCCTTTGTGGTAGATAATCTTATTTTGACGACGCGTATCTCCCTCGTGTACCTAGCACAAGTTATTGGATTGGGGCGTTGCTGAGGGCAGTACAATGGCGGGCGACCGCTGTGGATAATGAGCCGCGTGGCTGGATCATTACTTCATTGGGACATGAATGGACGGCCACCGAGGGCCACCGGAAGTGGCTTTGATTCTGCCAGCCTATAAAGTACGTGCCATGATTCTATGCAACTGCATCTCTTTCTCACACCCCACATTGACACAAAATGCCTGCTACCGCCTCCAAAGCCCGCCGCTCTCGCAAGACACTCCCGAATCTCCCTCGCTCTCCATTTGATCGCAGAATGTCCCGCCGTGCGATGGTACCCAGGGCTGCCGAACCCATCGGAGTAGAGTGCGCACCACAAGATCTTTTTGGAAGATGTCCTTTGGGTATGTCTCGCTGTTAAGGTTATTCAGACCACTGTTGACTTTGACGGACCTAGGACTTTTCTATGACTTGGCTTACCAATTTTGCGACTTGTCCCGCGATTGCACTGGCTTGATGACAGACGAACTCTGCGAAAGAGGGTGGCGTGAGCAGATACCAATTTTTGGTGCGTGTTCTTGAATTTGTCGGGTTCAACTCTTAATTTTCTTACTACAGCCACCTATTGTGCCCAGGACTGTGACGACCAGTTTGGCTACCAGTCCCCCGAGCGCAATGGCTTGACGACAGGTGAATTCTGTGAAAGAGGGTGGCACGACGAGGTTTAATTTGAATGTTATCAGTCGTTATCTTAAGTTTTTTTCCTCTCCGTTAGTTCTTATAAAATTGTCTTCTCGCTCGTGTTGGCCCCAGATGATGAGGCCTCTCTGGTCTGAGTACCATGAAATCTCACGTTGACATATAGTTGGCAGCGCGCATACCAGACAATCTAATCTCTTCACTTTAGATTAATCTAATCTCTTTACTTTGGAATATTATTTTCTTACAACACTATACAATCAATGAACCTGTATTTAAATTGAGTCAAGATAGAAGAGTGACTCAGAGACTGAGGGAGGTAAGGAAGGGGTCAGCAACTAACACGCAAGCGATGAAAAAAAAAAAATGAAAAAGACGACCCAGCCCTGAGTTGAACAGCGACCTCCGAGTGAAAGGAGTCATAAATGCAGCATTCAAACTCGGTGCGCTCCAACTGCGCCACTGGACCATTGTTATTCCTCTTCCAGTGTGCTCTACATGGGCAACTTTTGCCGCAGAATGAATAAAAACAGATTGTGTTAGAACAATAAAATGTGAATCAAAGAAAGAGACAGCCTGGGCGGGATTCAAACGTGCACCTGTGCATGAAGCAATTTCATTATACCTATTATTTCGCACCGCTCTTTCCAACTGAGCCACCAGGCCACATCTAAGAATGCCAGAGTGAGATATAGAGGTCAAACTGGCTGTCCCAATATGGGAAGTCAAACAAACATATTTTTACAGCAAAGTGTATCTAATTAAGTGCAAAAAATCTATTGAGTTGAAATTTTCAAGAAAAAAGGAAACCTTCAAGACATCGGGGTGTGGACCAAATAAGGGACAACAACCGCTATGGTCCCAATATGGGAATTCCTGGCCGTTGGGAGCCCCCAGGGGTGGGAGCTCCCTGGGACTCCCAGGCCCTCCCAGGCCCTCCCATGGGAGCCTGAAATGGCTCCCACTGAGGCCAAATATCATACATCTAGCCGTATGGGAGCACCCAGGAAGGCGACCGGGAGTAACCTGGCCAATGCAGAGGATGCTCCCAGGCCATTCATGGGAAGCATTGGGAGGTCTTCCAGGGGCTAGTGGGAGGCTCCCAAAGGGTCCATGGAAGCCTTAGAGAACTGGTGGGAGGCCTCCGACCAGCTGCGGGGGAGGTAGGGGAGGGATGTGGGAGCCCCCTTGGGTTTGAATGGGAGGATTGTGAGGTCTTCCAGGGAGTCTGTGGGAGGGTCCTGGGAGTCTACCGGGACTTGTCTGGAGGATTGTGAGGTCTTCCAGGGAGTCTGTGGGAGGGTCCTGGGAGTCTGCCGGGACTTGTCTGGGAGATTGCAAGGCCTTCCAGAGACTCTGTGGGAGGGTCCTGTGGGAGGGTCCTGGGAGTCTGCCAGGGCTTGGTCTGGGAGACATTGGCAGAGGCTTCGTGAGACAGTGGGAGGCCCACGGGAGCCTCCCAAGCAACGTGGCAGAGACAATTGGGAGTACTGTCGGGCCAGAGAAAATGTAAGGGCAAGTGATGTACAAGAAATTAGCATACAACGAGAGCTGATTTTATGAGTTGTGCAGCATATCCATTATATTGGGATGCTCTCCAACATGTATATATATATAACCAGAGATACACTTTGAAATTAAACCTTGCTTGCTTGAGTGGATGGTATGAGCGACTTTTTGAACTCAATAGATATACCATACCAACATGTGCACAAAAAATAAAAGTAAATGGTATGAGTGACTTTTTTGAACTCAACAGATATACCATACCATTATATGAACAAAAAGAAAAAATAGAAAATAATAATAATAACCTTGGTTCCTTGGGTGGATGGTTTGGGTGACTGTTGAAAGGAACTAGTGAAAAGACAGAGAATGCTGCCCTTATGTATCTAGCAGTCAACCCACGGAGCAAGGGATGCACGACCTGCCCGATGGGTGCCTGAACGGCCCTGGGAAAGTGCTTTTTGGGGGGAAATTTGCCAAAAGAATCTGCCGCGGTATGCACAGCATATATATATTACTCACGCCATGTAACTGATGATGTATGATCAATCATGAGCAAGCCAAACAGTGCCTGAGTGGCCCCGGAAAAACGCTTTTTGGGCCAGAAATTCACCAAAAAAGTCTGCCGCGCTACACGCGGCATATATATAGTACTCAAGCCATGGCCCAGGGGATTCAGAATCACCCATTAGCACCCCAAAGAGTGCCCCAAAGGGCCTGCAAAAGCACTTTTCAGAGCAGAAATCTGCTAAAAAAATCTGACGCGCTACGCGCACCATGTATGTAGCACTCAAGCCATGCATCAGGGTATTCAGAATCACCCATGAGCACCCCAAACGGTGCCCCAAAGGGCCTGCAAAAGCGCTTTTCAGGGCCGAAATCTGCGAAAAAAATCTGCCGCGCATAGCGCGGCATATATAGAGTACTCAACCCATGGACCAGGGGATTCAGAATCACCCAGAAGCAGCCCAAACCGTGCCCAAACGGCCCCAGAAAAGCGCTTTTCGCCCCAGCGGTGGCCGGGGTCTTGGATGATGGCAAGTGATGCCATGGAAGCTCCCAGCACATGGGAGCCTCCACGCAAATGGTGGAAGGTTCCACCCAGATTCCTTCCACCTATACCTAGGAGGAAGCTCCCAGCAGTGGGAGCCCACCACCTAAAAACACCCACTTAGGGTAGTCATAGAACAAGGAATAATCACCCTATTAGGGTACCTTAAACGTCTGCCTGTAGTGTGTAAGTTGTGCAACGCCGCATAGATGTGCCGGATATTAAGGCACGTTACTGAGGCGGACCCAATTGGGCTGTGACGGGACGCGATTTAAATCCTGCATACCTTGGTCTTTGCCTTCTTTTGAATCTCGGAAGTCCCCTGGTTTTCTAACACATGTTTCGAATGAGCGCGCAACCTCAAAGAGGTGACAATTAGCAGGGTCGACTTCCGGGCGCCGCGTGCGCTTCTGCGCAGGGGTGGGCACTGGAATGGGGGTGCTGGTTGCCGGAGATGAAGAAGGGGGTGGAATCAGACCTGTGGCGGCATCAAGTCGATGTCCATTGGTTGCACGCGATGAAGTATGACTTCCGGAGGGCAGTCTGCAACTGAACCCTCATCCGGGATTTCGGGTTTGTCATCAGAATCTGGCGGGGTGAGTAGTCCCTAGGGTTCAGGTAGATCGGAAGACGCGCCAGAGGGCCTCAGCACCGCTTCCACCTCCACTCCATCGTCCGAGAAGAGAATTTCAAAGACCTCGACATCTCCCTCCACCAACGTACACATCCTAACCGCCGCCATGGTAATGGAGGCCTGCGGAATGACCCCAGAACATCCCCTTCGAGGCTAGGTCCGGTACTGGACAAATTTTTCGATTTTGGGTCCTCGAGCCTAGGTCCTATGAGCCAAAGGACCCGGCACAGGGAGCCGAGCACACCAGGCATCCACGGGTATGTCCCCTCCATAGGCGCCGCGGTAGGTGCCAGTGTATCGTGTCACCGGCATTCCGTGGATGGAAGGAGGCTGATCACGGAGCCAAGATGTAGAAGAAAAGAAAGAAACACGAGAACACGTGCAAGATCCCGGTCCACAACCAACGCGCAGCACCTCCATACACAAGGGGCATATCATCCTAAAGTGTGTCACAACAGTCAAATATATGCAAATCCCAAGTATTATAAGTTTCACCTGTTCCTGTGCAACATATTTTAGATCTTTTTAAAATATGTTTCCAGTGAAACTGGCAGCAATATCTGAAACACACAACTTATGTGTTTTGAATATAATTCCCTTGTTTTTTAGCATATATTCAAGCTATATACCAGCTAAATGAGCGGGCCAAATCCAGAAGATATTTAATTTGTGTCTCCCCCATGGTTCCCATAAATCCTAGGAACACATTGTAGACATATTCATCCTGCACTTTGCATATGTACTGGCTAAGATTTGGACTGTGTTTCACCTGTGTCCTCTGTAGGTTCCGCCTAAATCTCCAAGCAAAGGACGGAAGATATTAAATATATAAATTCAATGAAAGTTGCCGCTTCAGCTAAAAGATACTTCTACTGTGTTTCCAGTATATTTCACCGCATGTCTAGAATGGGGTTAGGTGAAGTTTTGAAACTAAAGGTAACACATATTGAAAACAGCTCTCACCTAAAATTTCCGGCTATATGTGAAAAACATTTTGTATCTGTCTTTCCTAGGCTTCATCCTATGTTGAGGCTAAGTTTGAGGTAAATCTGGAAGGCAAGTATGGGACACATTCACATTGGATTTCACATAGGTTCTGTGGAGAGTGGGCCCAGAAAGTTGAGAGATATTGAGTATATGTCTTCAATATGTTTGGTTGTTTTCCAGCATATGTTCAAGCTATGTACCGAGTAAATTTGGGGCCAAAATCCAAGAGATATTAGACAGCTTGCGCACCAGCCATTGGAGTCAATCAGTGGCTTATTTGGCGTGCGCGACTAATGGTTCCACCCGCCCCAAAATGCCGGGCCATTGACGTCATATTTTGTCGGGTGGAGCCATAGGTGTGTGCACGCCAAATAAGCCATGTTACGGCTCCAATAGCTTTTGCGCAAGGTGTCTACTAAATTTGTGTCTCCCCTATGGTTGGCATGAATCTTGAGAACATAGTGTAGAGATATTCATCCTGGCTTTTGCAAATGCACTGGCTAGAATTCGGAGCGTGTTTCACCTGTTTCCTTGGTAGGTTTCCAGTATATCTGCAGCTAAAGAAAGATAAATATTCAAAATATGTGTCCAACAAAGGGTACTGCTTCAGCCAAAAGATAGTTCAAATGTGTTCTCGGGGTGTTTCAAGGTCAAAGTGCAAAGTAGTTTGCAAAAAAATATTCAAAACGTGTTGTAGAACTATATTTAATAGATCATATGAAAGACATGCATGTCAACTACAGCCAGCGGAACGGGGTAACCTCAAAATAGGAGAGAACTCATGATGAGTCAGGTTACTTTAGATGAACAACTGACCATAGAAAGTGGGCTGCCCCGTAGTTGGGCCACGGTCAACTCTGAACATGCTCAGTGGCCCAACTAATTATACAAAGTAGAGCGAACAGCGGAACCAGTCACAGAACCGCTCCACCACATACTGGAAGTCTACTATAAATTAGGGACTTACCCGCTCAACAGCAAAACTGCACTTAGGCCATAAATCAGGGAAAGATTCTCGGTCTACTGGGAACTGGGGCATTAACTGCAGAACTGCAAAGGAGGTCTCTGCCGCACAGATGATAAAGCAGGGACCGAAAGCATCACATTGAGTTTACGATTAATGAGGGGATTAACCACACAACTGCACTCCGGGAGGCTGTGTTCTGAGGCCCTCTGGAACTGCTCAGTGACCCAACTGAAGTCGAGAAAACTTCAGAACTGCGCAACCACGCACATGAAGTCTATCACTGCATAGATTTGGTCCACCATTAATGAGGGGATTAATCGCACAATTGCACAGCTGTACTCCGGTGATAGGGACCAAGCATCCGGGAACTGTGCAGCTAGCCAACTGCGGAACTGCGGAACTGCTCAATCACACAACTGCAGAACTACTCAATAACTCAAGTGAAGTCCAACGAGCTGCAGAACCGCTCGACCGCACACAGGAAGTTCATCACCACATACATTCAGTCTACCAATGAGGAG